TGGCAAGAGCTCATTGACCAGCCAAATGCCAGACTAGTCAAAATGGTGAACTTTCAGTTCAGTGAGAGACTGTCTTGGAGCTGCCCATCTGCATCTGAGGGGTGAGGCGGGAAAGGGTCCCAGAAGATTCTGAGGGCTTCTAGTGTGAGGTGTTCAGGGTCTTACCATGAGGGAGAGGACTGGAAAGCCTGGGTCACAGGGGCATTGAGAGAAAGTCAGCCCAGCATCATGTGACTGTATATTCCACACTAAGTTCCCCTTGCTTATAAATGAGGAAAACAAAAATTTAATCTCCAGAGAAAAAGAGAGCATGGTGTTTGGATTCAGATTCAGGTCAGGAAGACAAAAGGATTGCTGAGATTTAACAAATATAATTTTCTCCTCCTTTTTTGTTTCCCAAAGGAAAATGCTCCAAGGAAGGACAGTTTGGTAAATAAAGCACCCAAACAACCTTTGAATAAACAAATGCCCCACCCTTTCTAGTATTTCTAAGGAACACAACACATTAAAAGACAAACCCCAGGGCAGCAAGATTGCTCAGCAGGCAAAGGCGCTTGCTACCAAGACTAAAGACCTGAGTTCAATTCCCAGGAGCCACATGGTAGAAAAAAGAGAAATGATTCCCACAAGATGTGCTCTGACCCCCACATGTGCAGTGTAGCAGGTACACCCACAAATAGACAAATAAATAATCTTTTTAAACAAAAATAGCAGTGCACACAATCCTGTCTACCTCCTGGGAGGCTGCCGGTGTTTCTTGCTTTCCATTCTGCCTTTTGCACACAGGCTAAAACTTTAAAAAAAATATTTATTTATTATTTTTATGTGTATGCATGTATCACCTGCATGTAGGTAAGTGCACCTGTGTCATGCAATGCCTGTAGAGTACAGAAGGGACTGTCGGATGCCCTGGAATTGGAGTTGCCATGTGGGTACTGGGATTCGAACTCAGGTTATCTGCAAGAACAGCCAGTATTCTTAACCACTGAGTCATCTCTTCAGCCTATTAAAAGGCTTTATAAAAAGGTTTCCATATACACATGTTTGAATATGCCTTAAACACCTACCTTTGAGTCCAGCTTTCTGGATGCAAATTCCTCTCTATGGCAGCATTTTCAGCAGGCAATCCAAATGCATCCCACCCCATGGGGTTGATGACCTGGTATAACAGAACAAAATAAAAATTACAGAGAGAAAATGAAAATGGATTTATAAAGGAGCCACGCCTTCCCAGGAAGGAAGAGCCTCCCTACCACCACCTTCTTCCCTTCTGCCTGATGTAACAATTTGCCCTTTTCACATGGGGTGTGTCCCAGGAGAGACATTTGTGATGATTCTCCTTCCTTTGCCCATCCCATTTTTGACAGATACTCAGTAGGTCTAGCCTGAAGGAGAATTTCAAAGAAAGAACACCAAGTAAGTCTCTGCCGCACGAATCCTTCGAAGAACATATCTACTGAAGAACAAAGAGCCTCTTCCAAGTGCAAGTGTAGAAATCTTCCACACACACCCCATAGAAATCCATTTCCCCCTTTAAAAGTGGGGAACACTGTTCTGGAAGGTAGTCTCTACCCATTTTTCCAAGCCTGGACTTGAATAAAACTATCTCTTCCATCCATTTCTGTCTCCTGGCTTGTTTTGGTAGAGGCATGGAGGCAGCAGGTAGTGGGGCCTCATAGTAAAACCAGCATCAAAAAGCCAGGTATCAGCCATGACAAACCACTGAGATCTTACTGAGTTTGTGTTCTCTTGGCCCCAAACAGCATCCTTCCTCATTGCTTTCCTATTATTTTTATTTACTTTAAATAAAGGATGAGCATCACGCAAAATGTCCTGTAATGGTGGTGGGTCATCTGGCCTCTTGATCAAGGAAGCCGAGGAGACCCCACCAGATGGACTTGAGCCAGTGTCCAGTCTATAAAGAGGAGGGTCAACACGGAGGAATCATTTCCTCCAT